GTTACGTATTTAATAATGGTGCACCAGTATAATGGGGCATCGGTTGATACGAAATGTCAGGTTCGTAACTGACGGCTTTGTTTGTAGGTTCCTGATGATATTTTAGAGGAAGCGAAGACTGCAGCTAAAGCTGCCCTTGAAGAGATGGATGCAGATTAGTGATCCTAATACACTAAGTACTTTCTTTCTTCTTGCATCTGTTTCTCATGTCCTTATTGAATGGTCCCTCTCTGCCATGTTATTACTGTTGGTGATGAAAGCGATTTACAATTTATTTTAACTTTGAATTGGAAGCTTACAACTGAAGTTCAAAAAATCGAGAGTATTAGTTTGGATTACAAAACTATGAATTCTGATCTTTGCTAGGTTTTGTTGTTGTAACCGGTCTTTAGTTTATAAAACAGGTTAAATGCTCTTGTTTTCCCGGTTAAATATTCTTCTTTCCCTCTCCTGATATTGCAGAGGGAATGTTATCCTACTAGAGCTATATCATTTCACTTTTGTACCTACCTTACATATTAGGAAAAGTTCCTCTGGAGTGTGAGGGAGTCCGTCCATAAGTGGCTTAAAAGTTATCTCAATGCGAGTTGAAAAAACAAGAAAGCTTCCTGTGTGCATACTTATGAATAATCAGTACAAGACTTTGGTTCCACCAAGGGGAAGGGAAATGAGAGATTAAATTGACATTTTAGGTGTAGATGGGAAGCACACATCTACTTACAGTTTTGCTTGGTATGATTTGAATGCCAGTAATTCCGAGATTCAATAAATTTGACTTAATGATTCAAATCAAAATTTTCCATTTCATAAAATTTGGTTAACAAATAACGAACATGGTGCCGACGCAGATTAAAAAATAAAGGAAGATTAGAATGATGCTAGACATAAATTTAGTTTCTCTGAAAACTTGGCATTACCGCAGTAAAGTTCTCATTCTTGTAATTGTTTGATAACTAGAGTGCATAGGTCGTTATCATTGGAATTTATTGCAACTTATTCTCTCCCAAGTCCCACAGTACATGAATAATGGTATAACAAGTCTCTCATTGGGCAGTACTTATGTTCGAATTTGTGTCTTCAAATGCAAACCAAAAGAAGAAATAAGAAAGAGAACGATATAGAGGAAAGGTAGCAGGAAAGAAGACATTGTTTGCCACATCCTTTTAGTGTTGGAGGTTGCATGTAATCTTCTTGCAGCGGTGGACGCATCTGTCAACCTTTTCTACATCTGCATTGCCAAGACATTTCAGTGTATTGCAGGACACAAATGTCTTGAAATTTAGTTTAAAGTTTGTTATTTAGACCTACAAATTATTCTTAAAAAGACGGACTAAATCAAACTATTGACACTCCTACGTGTATGTATACTACATGGGCGTACCCAATTTTTTTTGCAAGCAGTGTCATCATTTAAAAAGTAAATCACTAAAATGACATAAAAAGTCAACGGTTGAGAAGAGTACCACCAACAAATTCGGTACTCAGAAGTTGTATATTATAGAAAAAGAAGAGTATTTATTTTTCAAAATTATAATACTAAATCCATTTAGGTTATACTAAAATCGATAAATATTATATTTGTTTATTTATTTATCACTTTAGTTAATGTTTTTAGCTTAAGAGGATAGAGCTCGATCCTCACATAATATAATTTTAAACTAAAGACACTTGAGAAAAGTTCAAAAAATCTGAGTAAGTTTCAATCCCCCACCCTTTTGGTGAAAATGGTCACGTTGCCCATCAGATCGGGTAAGCTTGTCGGTCAAATAGTGTCATTTAATTTTTATGTCTTTTTTGCTACACCGTTTATATATCTATTTAGTAAAAATTTTCGGTGAAGCGGTATCGGATGACACTACTTCGACTAGCGTGCATAAAATTTTCCAGCCAAGGTTCGACTAACGTGCATCTGCCCCTGGTATACTATACTCCTGAGCGATTTGTCTATTACTATATCTTTTACTTTAAATATTCGTTTGTAAAATCTGGTGGCTTGATTAATTTAAATTCACGTCGAGTAAGAAGTAATTAAAATGCTTCGTACCAAGAGGTTTTCCGTTCCTATGCTCGAAAACTTGCCTATTAGGAGAAAAAGCTATACAACACAGAAATCTACATAAATTAGGCACATTATACATACCATCTCCAAATTTTGCACAACGATGAATAGAACAGCCAAAGTTGCAGTAATGGAGTGAATCTGGTTGAGTAATTTTGAGAATAAGACATTTGAACAAGCACTTGCTAGTACACTCAATCTTTGCTTCTTCATCAACACAATCCACTTCACACTCTCCAAAGCAACTCTTGAATGAAGCTTTTGCTAAGTTATTTTGGCTTGTAAAAACAAGCACTATAACCATCACTATTGTCATTCTTCTATTTCCTTCCATTTTTCCCCTACTTTCTAATGATACACCAAACCAAAAAGGCTTCTCTCTCTATATATAATATATTGGAATTTCTTCATGATAAACAGAATTAACTATGTACACCAAAACACTTTTTCAGTCACAATAAATAAAGGTGAATTTATTTGCCTTTAATTTGCAGTTGGATTGGAAAATCAGATTCCAGGGGCTAGGCTGCAACATTATGTTTGTCACATCGCCTCTTATCTATGTTTCCCCACTTTTAGGTTGAAGGAACACTAGTTAGTTTTACAGAAGAATTAGTATCCTTAAATTGGTCAATATGAGAAGAAATTAACATTGGCTGAATAATAAACTGAAAGTAAACTTTATAATATGCAGGAAATTTAAAGCGATCAACTTAAAACACCGAAGCGCCTGTTTGGCCAAACTGCAAAAATCAGCTTATTTTGAGAAATATTTTTTTTTTCTCAAAAGTACTTTTGGCGAGAAGCAATTTGTGTTTGGCCAATTAATTTGAAAAATACTTCTGAGTAACAATTGGTTTTTGGCCAATCTTTTAAAAACTACTTCTAAGTGTATTTTTAAAAGAAGTATTTTTGGAGAGAAGCTACTTTTTCCAGCTTCTGCAAAACTGCTTCTGCTTCTCCTCGAAAGCAATTTTTTTTCTTCCAAAATCTTGGCCAAACACTTTAACTTTGAAAAAAGCACTTTTTTAAGAATTAAAGAACGCTTAGCCAAACAGGCTATTAATTAATTAAAAAAGATAGATTGTGTTCCTATTCCATAAGAGGATCATATGTGGTCTTTAACTATAAAATTTCCCTCGCAAGATGATTGGTTAGATTTTATATTTAGAAGCAAAGTAGCATATAGTTAAACACATAACGAGATATCATTAAAGTTCAATATTAAAAAGTTATATAATTCACTAAATTTTATTGTCTCCCATACTCTGGAGTCTATGGTTTTATTGACTCTTAAATGATGACCTATACATATATATACCCATTCCTTAGATTAGCCTGTCACACTCTCACACTTCCCAACAGCTCTCATGCCAATTTGTATGAAGATTAATATGCTGTATGTATAAAAGTTGAAACGAATTTATCCACCAAGTACACAAAACAAAGAGCGATTTTGGCTACGTTATTTTTGGACGTGAACTTTACTAGAAAAAAAGAAAGTTGAAGAACGTGAGTAATATATAGATTTACTTGAAATATAAACAGATTTAAACCAGTATTTCGATTTAAGTAATGAAATTCAGTATTTGCAACAATATTACTATTCGCAAATCTTGTAGTTCAGTATTTGCTTGTTTCTATGCAGAATTATGCATACCTTTAAGCAGTGGCGGAGACAGAATTTTCACGAAGGGGGTTCAAATTTTTTTTTTTTGTATCTAGTGGTGAGAATTGAACTCATGACCTTATGTAGATTTTGAACCCCCTTAACCACTAAACTACGCTTTTGGATTGTGTTAAGGGGGTTCAAAACTTAATATATAGAGGTAAAAAATAGATTTTGCCTTATATATACGGTGTATTTTTTCGGCGAAGGGGGTTCGCGCGAACCCCCTTCGCCGAAAAAATACACCGTATATATAAGGCAAAATCTATTTTTTACCTCTATATATTAAGTTTTGAACCCCCTTAACCACTAAACTACGCTTTTGGATTGTGTTAAGGGGGTTCAAAACTTAATATATAGAGGTAAAAAATAGATTTTGCCTTATATATACGGTGTATTTTTTCGGCGAAGGGGGTTCGCGTGAACCCCTTGCGCCCCTAAATCCGCCCCTGCCTTTGAGATGAGTTTTAAAATTTCAAGAGAATATATGTTTTCATGAGTTTAATTGCTATGTTTTCCAAGAGTACATGCATTATTGTTGGAACATATAATTGAATTGGTCCCTTATATATAATTTTGCTTTTCTTACGTGTCCCGAAATTAATGGTTTATGATAATGAAGTAGAAACACATTACTTTCTTCCGTTTTAAGAAAAAGTTGTATACACTAAACTGTTCTCCAAAAATTCAATTGAGTTAGTTAAGAACTCAAAACATGCCGCAAGGTTAGATTGAGTTGGTTGAGTGAGTGATTTTCCACATGGGAGGTCTGGGCAGTTTCTCTCACCAGCAGTCTTCTCAGTCAGAGTTCGTTGCACCGGGTTTGTCTTGTCCGGTTTTCATCTCTTATGTAGTTTGCGAGCTATTACATAGTGAGCAGGTTACCCGGACCCGAAAGGTAGCGGCGACGGGTTTCCTGGGAAGTTTCCAAAAAAAAAAAGAAAAACTAAAGACGTAATATCTATAAGCTCTACACTTATAAACTGCCGTATAATCAATTGTTTTCTTATAATCATGTCCAATTGAACTGGAGTAATTTTCATAGGTGGAACTAATATGAATATTAAATTCTATCTCTTGCAGGAAATGAGGGTATGGGGATGAAGTGTTCATGGGAATGCTGCATATCTTCGTGAGAGTCTGGGAATTTCCAGGTTTTGAGCAACTGAATTGACTCAAAATTCAGCAAATATATGATACAAAATTAGCAATTTGGGAAACTTGAACTGAAAATAGTCAAATACAATAATGGTCCGTACCTTAGTCTCTTCAAATATTTCAAACCTCGACTTATTATTTCCACCCTATCAACATTAATCTCAACTTTGAACCTAGCTAAATTAATCCTTCTATTACATTCTTTTTCATTTTTCTGTTGAACTCATCATCAATAGATTAAGATAACGTTAAACCACAAAGGACGCATTATTTTTGGTTCTTTTTTTTGGCCTTTTTCTTAGGCCCTAGAGTATTACTTCTTTTAAACCTAGGTACTAGTATTATACACTAATATTAATTACGTTGAATCCTCTTTATCGTGCTGGTTAAGTGTTCGATCCACAAAAGTGAAATTAGGAGCCCAACAGATGAAAAGAAGAAGCAAATTTCATTGTTTAAGAAGGCACCAAATTAAGGATCACATTATATTATCGGTCCTAATCATGAAGAGAAAAAACCAAATAGGTGGTTTCTTAAAGCAAGGGTATGGTTATGATTTTTTTCTCTAGAAATAGAACTCTACTTGTTCTATTTTATATTCCTCTCCTCATTATCCCATAATTAATGCCAACTTAAAATTATCTAATTCTTTTTAATCAGCAACAACAATAACAACGCTTCAGTCTCAAACAAGTTAGCGGGTCTGCGATATAAATCCTAACTTCTTTCTTTAAGAATGGGGATTCATCATGATCAATTGGCATGTGCTGGCTGCCATCCTACTGCAATGCAAGAACGAAGCTACAACAGTACAACCTATCAAGGATGGTCAATTGACCACGCTTTATTGAAAAATCATATAATGTATGTAGGTAAAATATTAGGTTTTAGAGGTATGTAACATATATTGAACACTTTTACTGGATGATTTTTTTCACTTATTTCAAGTTTATACACCCTTAGAAAAATTCCTGGCTTCGCCACTGCTGTAACCCTCCTCCTTTATTCAGCTTTAGGAACGACAATATAAGGAGGCGAATTTATCTACTCCCTCGTTCACTTTTACTTTTCCATTTTTGGATTTTTCACGTTCCTTAAAAAATAATAATTATAGTACATATTTTACTATATAACCCCTAATAATGATATTATTTCAAAAAATGTTGGAAAATAATTTTGAAAATGAGTAATTAATGATAAGGTAAAATAAGAAAAAGTATCTTTCTCTTGATTTACTAAAATAGACGAGTAAAAGTGAAAATGTATTTTTAGTATAGTGGACAAGTAAAACTGAACGGAGGGAGTAATTCTTTTGTTAATCATTAAAAGAAACGGTGGAAACACTATAAATAGGGTTGTCTTGTAATCAAAATAACACAAACACTTTTAGCTCAAACCCAAAAAATACCTCCATATATATGGCATACAATAAGTTAAGAGCCCTTTTCCTACTATCTCTTTTCCTCATTGCAACAACTACTCCATTAGCTCATGGAGTCCTTATCAATGGCCAAAATGTGATTGGACTAAGGGTACGTGGCCTTTTGGTTTGTTCAGCAACAGGCAATCCACCTGGCCCTGGCATTGCTGGTGTAAACGTCAAGATTTCATGCAATGGTGGTTCAACAAGCCTTGTCCAAGTGCTAACTGATGCTAATGGCTATTTTCAAACTATAATCACTGCATTAGATGGCATCCTCTTTGATCAAACTACCACTCCATGCCAAGTTATAATTGATACTCCAATTGCTAGTTGTTCACTTTTGGCTTCAACTGGAACACTTAGGGCTCCTATTACACTTGTTGGTACCCTTATACAAACTTTGCTTGGCCTTGTTGCTGATGCTACTTGTGGTGCATTTCACTTGGTTCCCATTGCATAATATGGTTGATCAAAAAATCACTTAATATGTAATATAGTTGTGTCTTTTACGTTTAATTTGAGTTTCGAATAATTGTCCGTCTAGCGCCTTTCGATTGGGGTGCATCCTGAGGGTTAGGTTATTAGACCTAAGCTTCTATAACATTATAACATTAAGGACATGTACGTAGTTTGATATTTCAAAACAAGGAGAAGAATGTTTTACTCATGTTTTTGTTACTTTTATAATATGGTTTCCATTTTGCTTCGTTCACTTTATCAATGGTGTCATAATGGAAGTTTGGATATGAAAAATTACCAACTTTAATCTCTCACGTTTGAACAAATTAATAACGTACGTTACTGGCCAGGATATTTCTTTTTTAAACTTTTGCTTGAGCCGATGATATATCGAGAACAGTCTCTCTACCTTCGCAAGGTAGAAGTATGACTATGTATACACTATCCTCCCCAGACCCCACTTATGGGATTACACTAAGTTTTTTGTTGTTATTCTACTGTCCAGAATATAATAAGCGTCATTAAAAACTCTTACACAATCAATGATGGACAAGCGGCAAATGACTGACGATTGTTCAATAATACCTCCTTATTGCTCAATATTATTGCTAAAAAAGGGCAACAAGAGATCGATGAGCATAAATATATATCCTAGCTAGTCAATTTTTTCATGAATGACAATTTTCACAGAATAATAATCCATGATATGTTTTTGTAAGGGATGGGGATGTGAATATGTGTTCTCATAAAATTCTTTACAGTAAGTAATTAAGTCTATTTCATATATTAAGGGTCAAAATATGACAGTTTCCTAAATCCTCCTTTTGATATATATATTAAGTTGTCTTGAACATGGATGCCTTTTTCTTCGGTTGCCTCTGAAAAAGTGTGATCTTCATCTCTATGAAAAACAATAATGCACCAAAGAATGCCACATTCTGCATAAAATCATGGAGAAGAAGAAAAAATTCTGGTTCTCCGACTTTATAGTGATAGAAATCATACAAAATTGGAGTAGCCGTCAGCAAGTACAATATCAGAAGAAAAGTCCCTTCTATCCTATCAAATAGAAATAGAGAGCCACCAATTGCTTTTAGACCAATGAAAAATGTTATGAAGAAATGAACAATTTGTATTTTTGTTTCCTCTGAATAGTGCACCAGAAGATCGAGGAAACCAGCCAGCTTGACAACATATTCCTTCTCGACAAGTCTTATATCTGTGTCTATTTCTTTTAACGTTTGCCAAGCAGAAGAGACGAAGAACCAAGCAAATAGAAACCTTCCCAGGACTGAAAATAACTCCATTTTCACTCTTGCTTCTTCCCTTTTAATCATTTTCTGCATTTTGGGGGGCTATGGGACGAATGAAATTAAAATGGGCTAATTGGAATAAATTCAGGAGGAGGAAGCGGATCGAAATTCCATAAAATTCGGATTAGTAATATGTTAAGCGAACAATGTAATTTGAGTAATCTAAAAAAACACATCTCAATCAGGTGTAAAATGATTTCTAATATAACTTCAAATTTGTAAGAGAATATAGTTATTAATCCCGAAAATTATTAATTCTGAACATATTATCCACATAAAGGAAATACAAATGAGTACGTTAATTTTCTCTTGCTATATTTGTTTGTAAAAATGAATTTCTCAGTTAATATTTTTATACAACACCAAATTATTAGTCACTTTTCCGTACATAGAGCCACCGATTGTTAATGATGTAATTAAATAAATAAAAGTTAGTGTGCTTTCACAGCTAATAGGTTAAGTTTTAAAAAATGATTTCACGCTTCAATATGGTATATAAGAATAAACAAGAATTCAGATTCCAGTTTCATTGCAACCTATATATTATCAAAAATGAATTTTCACGTGGTTGGAATACTTTTTGTGGGTCAAAATAGTGTAATATTATTGCTGACAAAAGTATCATTATATTCTGCAAAGTACGTAACATAACTATAAATTATCTATTCGAAGTAAAAATTACACCATAAATTCCTCTCCTTAATTCATAGGAACAAGAAGAAACTTGCATAATGTCAACAACTGGGACACATCAAGTTCAAGTTGGTTACAACCAAAAATACATGCATAAAATAACATAAGAGTACATTTTATTTATTTCTATCCCATGCATGGATAGATTTAAGTAAGTTAAATTTCTATCTCATGCATGGATACATATGAAAATATGCCCAACATCAAACGACCGAGAACGGACCAATGGTGGCATCAGCGACAAGTCCAATAATGGCCTGAGACACAGTACCTTTGAGATTAACTTTAGCTTGAAGTACTCCATTACGAGGCAAGAGAGAGCATGTTAGAATTGGAAGATTTACTCTAACAACACATGATAGGGTGTTAGGGTCAAGGCCACTTAAGTTAGTAATTAGAGCAACAAAAACTCCATTAAGATTGGTTGTAGCAATACCAAGCACAGTTGGAGTTCCATTAACATTGCAAGTGACAGTAGCAAGGACTCCAACAATGCCATTTCCTGGTAAGTTACCTGTTGTTGAACAAGCTAAGGTGCCACTCACTTGTATTCCAAGCACAGTTTGGCCATTTATGGCGAATGCATGTGCCGCGGGTAGGCCTGTGGCTATGACGACAAGTACTAGAGCTACAAGAGAAGTGGTTGTAGAGGCCATGGAATTAAGCTTTTTGAGCTGGTATAAATGCTTTGGTTTTGTGTGTTCATAAGTTATAGTCAAGACTCCTATTTATAGGCAATTCATTTGCCCCATTGAGAATATATAAAAGATTTCTGCATTGTAACCGTAGAGAGGTGGGAGAACATGGGGTTTAGCTGGAGATTTTCGTCAATTGCAAGTTGAAGTATTAGCAAGTGGCAATTTGATGATCTTCAATTTGGTCAGCATCGTTAGGGTGCACAAAGATAATATAGAATTATCTGCTGCATGACACTAGCCATTTTTTTTCATAAACATGTGGTCCGGAATTCGCTGGTTCGACTAAATTCATTAATTATAAAGCGAAGCTATACCTACCATGTATATGGCGTAGTTAAATCAAAAAAAGAAAAAACCACGATAAATTTGAGTTAAAAAGATACTACTAAAGTAACAATTACATCTCCTGTTATAATAATATATTCTTTGTAATCAAATTTTATGTTATATATAGTAGCATAGTTTACCTAGCTAATAACAATCTTTTACATATAACGAGGGAAGATCCACATTAAGAGTGATATATGGTGCATGAGAACCTATCGTCTTTACCATTTAAATTGGGATTCCGGTATAAATTTGTGAAGATTTTGCTGTGTGCGTAGTTCAATGTGAACGGCCATGCTCAGAGTTCAGCCTTTGGTGCCTCGGTTCAAGACCAAACGGTCACCTATGCTATATATTTTTGGATTTCTTTTCTTCTCTTTTGTTAGGAAATACATTAATTTCCTTCGTGGATACTCCCCTACTACTTCTCAAATGTTTTATAACTTTCGTAACCACACTATTAAAATAGAAATTAGTGATAAACAAATTTTGTAGTTAGACAACAAAATTTATTGTTAATTCTACTTAGGAAGGATTAGCGACATATTATCATAAAATTCTATTAGCTACGAGCTATTTAGCAATAAATTAGCGACGAAGTTCATAATGAATTCTAGTTTTTTTTAATAGTGCCACCTCCATGATCTCACTGGTTAATGTCATATTTAAGATAATTTTTTCGTAACCCTTTAAGTAATAGAGGCATGAAATATGATATAAGATACACTTGGAAAAAATAAGAAAACGTTTCCTCTCTTGTGTCTCTTTATTTTTTGCCTTCATCTTTAATATCATCATTACCTTTTAGTTTGGGCAGCCCGATGCACTAAGCTCCCGCTATATGCGGGATCCGGGGAAGGGCCCTGTATTTCCGCAAGAGGTCGTTTTCACGGTTTGAACGAACGCGTAACCTCATGGTCACATGACAACAACTTTACCAGCTACGCCAAAGCTCCCCTTCCTACATTTTAGCTTGATTTCTTAAATTTTTTTACTGTTTTTCTTGTTTCTCTTTTCTATCTCTCTCTTTCGACCATTCTTTTCGTTTTTCCTTTTCTCTTTCTCCCCCTAACTTAATCCAGCCCAATTAATTCTCCAATATATCCAGGTAAATAACAAATTAAGGATTAATTAGAGATTAACTATTAATAACTTCAAATTGAATTTTATATTGAATTATTATAAATTTGTTTCATTATAAATTTATGTGATTATAAGATCTAAGTTACACTACAAGATTTGCTTAATCATATTATTCCTCCAATTAAAATTCTTCGCTTAGACATACTTTTATTCCAATCCCCATTATAGAACTTTTATCTCCAATTATTTAATAAGAAATATAATATTTTATTTATCGTAAGCAGTTCACATTTATAAAATTAATGTGATGACCCAAAATGTTATCTTTAAATTAAATAATCATCTCGGAGTTATAAGACCTTGAAAAGTACTATTAATTATTTCTCGACTTGCGTGCGCAGTCCGTATAATTTTCTGGAAGGCTTTTATGTGAAAAATGGATTAAATTGTGAATTAGAGCTTTAAAACTCAAGTGAGTTGACTTCGGTCAACATTTTGAGCAAACGAACCCGGACCCAAGTTTTGACCATTTCGGTAGCACCGTATCGTGATTTGGGACTTGGTTATATGCCCGAAATCGAATTTGGAGGTCCCTAGATCAAATTATCGTCATTTAACGTAATCTAGCTAGAAATCTAAGGCTAAAGATTTTTTAGATTTGACCGGAGATTTGACTTTTGAGCAAATGACTCCGGAATGGATTTTTGATAATTTCAATGGCTCCGTATGGTGATTTTGGGCTTAGAAGTGTGTCCGGATATTTATTTCGAGGTCTGTAGCTAAAATAGACTTGAAATGGCGAAAATAAGAAATTTAAGTTTGGAAGTTTGACCGGTGGGTTGACTCTTTGATATCGGGGTCGGAGTCCAGTTATGAAAATTTTCATAGCTTCGTTATGTCAATTATTACTTGTATGCAAAATTTGAAGTCATTCGGACTTGATTTGATAGGTTTTTGGCATCGAATATAGAAGTTGGACGTTCTTAGATTCATTAGGCTTGAATTGGGGTGTGATGCACAGTTTTAGCATTTTATGATGTGATTTGAGGTTTTGACTAAGTTCGTATGATGTTTTAAGGACTTGTTGGTATATTTTGTTGAGGTCCCGAGGGTCTCGGGTGGATTTCGGAAGGTTAACGGATCAATTCGGACTTGTATTTATCTACTGAAATTTTCTGGACAGTTTCTGCATTTTCGCACGTGTGAACAGTGACCGCATTTGCGTGAATAGTATCCATGACCAGTATCATGAACAATATCCATGAATGGTAACACGAGTGAACAGAACCGCGAAAAAATTCTGGACAGTGCATAACGAGCAGTCCGAGTTTTCTTTCATTTTTGGACTCCCAAGCTCGGTTTGGACGATTTTTAGAGGCAAAGTTCACCACAAAACTTAGGGTAAGTATTTTTGACTCCCTTGTGATTATATTTCATGAATAAATCTTCATTTTTGGCGTTAGATTATTGATATTTGAAGAGAAATGGAGGAATTTTCTAAAATTCCATAGAGATGAATTTTTAAGATTTGAAAGCCAATCCGATGTCGGATTTTGGTAAAATTTATATGGTTGGACTCGTGGTTGCATGTGCGTTCATATTCCGTAACTTTTGTCGTATTCCGAGATGCGGGCCCCACGTGCAATTTTTGGGTTAATTTCGAATTTTGTTGGAAAACTAGTATTTTCATATGGAATTAATTCCTATAATATGTATTGAATGAATCGAGTTTATTGTAGCTAGGTTCGAGGTATTCGGAGGTCGATTTGAGAGGAAAAGGCATTGCGGAGTAGGATTTTGCTCGAATTAAGGTAAGTAACTGTTATAAATTTGGTCATGAGGGTATGAAATCCAGGACATTGTGTCGTATGACTATTTTGGAGGTGACACACATGCTAGGTGACGGGCGTATGGGAGTGCACACGCGCACCATAGGGATTGTGACTTGGTCCGTCTCGCGAGATTGTGGAATCAATTGGCCTACTGTTTAATACATGTTCCCTCTGTTTTCATAGAAATTGACTGTACTTCATCTTAGAAATCATATTTAGGCCTTATGTGATCATTGTTGAAACCTGTGAGGTCGTGTACTTGCTGAATTAGCTGCTAAATTACTGTTTGTACTCAGTCATAGCTTTTCTTGCTTATTATGCCTTTGTCTCTAACTGTTTATTGTTGATACATGATATTTGT